ATATAATATAAAGATATGCAGGCAGGTGGAGAAAGATGTTGTCAGTGCTCTGGTTAGTTTAGTTTCTGCAATGTGTCTACCTGATGAACACGATAATGAATCTTTAGTTTTCATTTCATTTTACAACAATACATCTGTAACTTAAAAGTCCCACCCCCTAAATAATTGCTCTTAAAATATTTGCTGCTCCAGTGAGACTACCTTTAGTGAGACTGACAAACAAAACAGAGCAATACGTACATTTGGATATTGCTCAATGCTCCGCCACTTTTTGGGTGAGAACAACTCTTCACCTTTAAATGGTGGTAAATACGACTTCTACTGTGTTTTCTAATGAACTAGATAAAAAAAAAAAAAAATAGCTGCATTGTTTCAATGGTTTTGAGTGCCAAAGTAATATGGCCTGTCAGGCAAATAATTACAGTATAAAATGTCAGTGCTGCTCAACAACAGCCGGCATTATATAGAATACCAGACAATAAATGATAATAAGCAGCAATTACGTGCTTTGTATCAGAGCTCTGGGTGTGAGTGTGTGACAGACTTGTGGAAAATTCAATCCTCAGTTTGTCTCACAGAAGAATCCTCATATTCTCGTTTCCCTCATGCAGCCGTTTGTGCAAAATAGACACACATTAGGCTTGTCAGTAAATGCTTGAATGGCACATCGTTTCAGTTTGAAGAAAGAGCCACAAGGACAAAACTACACATGTTGACAGATTCTTACAATGCACGAACACAAGACCCCCGTTGATATTCTCAAATGCAGAAAATCGTTCAAAAATGCTCAAATTTAAACATGCTCACCTTTAACTTTCTGATTAAACCTGGGCATACTGCTGAATGAACTGAATATGATACATCCAGCATAAAGTGTGGAAAAAGTGACCTGGCACAAAGGGTCATGTGTTGAACTTATGCCCATAAAAATCTTGTGACCTCTGCACAGTTGGCAAAACAAGTGTATTTTTACTCAAAGAAAAACGCTGGTGGAGGTAAGGACCTGCGCGCAGTAGAAGCACCGGTAGTTGCCTTCCCCTTTGAAAAGGAGACACTCGTTTTCACAAACGGGAACACACAGTGATGACTAACCTGCAGATACGAAGAAGATCCCTGCACTGAGGATGACGTTGTGTCTGCTCCTGTAAAACTCACTGGCTGCCACGCAGAGTCCCCCCATGAACAACAGACCCACACTCATGATGGGGAAGATACTGGAGGCACGCACAGCACCTGAACACAGGAAAGAGAAGAAGAGGAGTCAAATCACATACAGCCATGCTTTTGAATTTCAAAGATAGTACTTTGTACATAAAACAGTGATGGTACTGGGGTTTTCTCTAGTGGTACTGAAGAAATCTGTAAAACAGTTTATGTGACCATACTGATGTCACTTAGAAATGTTCACTGATTGGAAGAGCATTCAAAATTATTGTAGGACAATGAAATATTATATTGTAAATGGACTGTACTTGTATAGAGCTTTTCTATCTTATCAAGATAGGGGTCTTGTTCGCGAATGAGGGAAAAATGGAGTGTGAGATCGATAGGCGGATAGGTGTAGCGTCTGCAGTGAAGCGGGCGCTGTACAGGTCTGTCGTGGTGAAGAGAGAGCTGAGTCAAAAGACGAATCTCTCAATTTACCGATCGATCTACGTTCCTACCCTCATCTATGGTCATGAGCTTTGGGTTGTGACCGAAAGAATGAGATCTCAGATACAAGCGGCCGAAATGAGTTTTCTCTGTAGGGTGTCTGGGCTCTCCCTTAGAGACAGGGTGAGAAGCTCGATCATCCGGGAGGGACTCGGAGTAGAGCCGCTGCTTCTCCACATCGAGAGGAGCCAGTTGAGGTGGCTTGGGCATCTGTTTAGGATGCCTTCTGGACGCCTCCCTGGTGAGGTGTTCCGGGCACGTCCCACCGGAAGGAGGCCCAGAGGAAGACCCAGGACACGCTGGAGGGACTATGTTTCTCAACTGGCCTGGGATCGCCTCGGGATTCCCCCGGAAGAGCTGGCCCAAGTGGCTGAGGAGAGGGAAGTCTGGGCCTCCCTACTTAGGCTGCTACCCCCGCGACCCGACCCCGGATAAGCGGAAGAAAATGGATGGATGGAAGAGCATTCAAAACTATTGTAGGACAATGAAATATTATATTGTAAATGGACTGTACTTATATAGAGCTTTTCTATCTTATCAAGATACTCAAAGCTCTTTACAACACAATCTGTGCCCTCTACCCATTCATACAGCACTCTACTATGTTTATACAAAGAATAATCAGAGCTTTATCACATTCATACACCGATGGGACACACATCAGAGGCAATGAGGGGTTCAGTGTCTTGCCCAGGGATACTTTGGCATGTGACTGCTGGTGGAATCGAACCCCCAACTCTTGCATTGGAGGACGACTGCTCTAACCATTCAGTTACAGCCGCACCAAATTGTATATAGATATGCCGTATATTGTATGGCGTGTCTATTAAAATCTGAACAGAAATTGGGCTTCCTGACTTTTACACCTTGTTTCTACAATGGAATAATTCACAAAGTCAAACATCTAAAAGCCTGAATGCCTGACTGGACTTTTTTTCAATTAAGATAAGTTAAGTAAAGCGTGGCACGGTGGCGCAGTTGGTAGAGCTGTTGCCTCTCCGTGAGAAGGCTGCCGGTTCAAATCCCGGTCCGTGACCGTTCTGGGTGCAGTTTGCATGTTCTCTCCATGCATGCGTGGGTTTCCTCCAGGTACTTCGGTTTCCTCCCACAGACCAAAAAACAAAAACATGCATGTTAGATGATTGGTAACTCTAAATTGTCTCTAGGTGTGAGTGAGAGAGTGAATGGTTGTTTGACTCGTTTGTCTCTGTGTATCTCTGTGATGGACTTGGACCCGTCCTGTCCCACGTCTCTCACACAGTAATAGCTGGATATGGGTACCCGGACCGGACGCTAGAGGGCGGCCAGGTCCGCACATTCAGGTATCCCCCCCCCCGCCCCCAGACACATTATAACACCGTGTAAAGAAGACAAACTAGTTTTCCAACTGCTAATAGTATCACAAGAAGAAGGAGAAGAATGTGAAGAAGACACTTTGATAAGGTAATATGATAAGATAATACGATAAGGTAATAAGGTAAAAAACGTTTTCTCCTCTGCCCAACATTTTTCAGTCAGGTCATCTGGACAGTTTCTTTTTTGTTGTTGTGCTGAAACGTTTCGCCTTCGGTCAGGAAGGCGAAACGTTTCAGCACAAAAAAAAAAAAAAGAAACTGTCCAGATGACCTGATTGAAAAATGTTGGATTGTATACCTGGATTATTGAGCATGGACTTTGTTGTTTTTCTCCTCTGGCTCTTGTTCAAGACAGACGCTGTCCTCTCCCTCCCCCTGTTTTCCCTTCCCCCTGCTTCTGCTCTCTGTGTGTCTCGGAGATCCTGGTACACATCTCCCGAACGAAAAACACTAGTATGGATCTGACGAGCTGGATTTTCTATGAAATCGATAAAATCTTTTCAACAAAATGACAGGGTCCTGGAGAACCCTCTTGCCCGGCTGAGACTTACACTGCGGTGTCCATCCGTGGGTCCTACCCCAGAAAAATATGGAATAAAAGAGATGCAATTTCCTGCATTTTGGTGTATTTTAACAGGTTGTTTAACATCTGTAAACATTTGATTCAATTGATTAAAAACAGGTCTCTCTCGTCAATGACAAGGCTCAATGAGACTAACAACCTGTATAAATAAAGGTTGAATTGAAATTACTATTTTAGAGAGCAACAAAAATTAACAAGCCTGTGTGTGAAGGTCCTATTCTGTCGAGTGTCCGAACCCCCACACACCCGACCTCAACTTGTTGAACCTTGTCCGACCTGAACTCTGCTGAATTCAGTCCTGCGCGTTGTTCTGCTCCAATCTCAACTGCCACTGGCTTCAGGTGCTTCAGTTCTCTGTTCAGCTAAAGACAATCCATCCATCCATTCATTTTAGATAATAAATTGTCTTTTCAACATTTTGATCACTGTTATTTTGACAAATTAGTGCCGTTGTTTTGATACGTGATGTTAATACACATCAAACATTTCACTCGTATTTTTTTTTTTTTTAACTGTAAGCCTATTTATTATGTCTGAAATGTTATGCACTGCGGTAATTTATGCAGGAGTTTTGACACAGCATTTGTGCGCGCGTCCTGCAGAGCTGTCTGGAGATGCTGTGCGTAAAACAACTGTCTCAGGGCGCACAGCTGAAGGTGGATGAAGACGCTCCACGCGGGACATGCAGTCCGTGTCTCTGCTGGGCAGGAGCGTGGTGTGGCCGGAACATCCACTCCACAGACTGGGCAATATCTCTTCTCGTTGTATTGTTAATAAATAATCAAAATAAAAATGCGCAATGACTTTGGACTTGAAGGGGCGGAGGTTTGAGTTGCAGGATCCGAGCGGTCAAAATGAGAGAGTTCCCAGATCTTGTTCCGGCATGATCCGGCTCAAATTAACCACTGGAGACTTTACAGAGTAAAGGTCAATAACTCGGCAATAAAATGCAAAATGCCAGTAAACAAATCATCAATTAACATGTACTATAAAAACAAGGTGAAGTAACAAGATCACAAGTGGACATGATGGTTGTAGGCAGACAGACTTGTGCATACAGTTCCAGGTTTCGTATTTTTGATGTTTTTTGTGAAACGCTCATAAAAGTTTCATGAGACACATTTTACTCTTAGGAACTAACTTTAAAAGATAAGTGACATTTTTTTGTTTGTGTGTTAAGTTATTGTGAAGTTGACTAACCAACATCCATGGGTCCTCATCAGTTTTTTGAAGTTTGTGAACAGATGGCATCAGTTTTTGTTAAATCTGTTTCTGCACAGCATCTTCTGAATTTTAGTTATGAACTCTGTTTCCAAGTTTATTCAGTCCATCGTCATACAGTCAGTAGTCTTCTTGACCCTCTGTAGGCACAACCTGATTACAAAACATTTGCGTCGACTTCGACTTTACCTGCAAATCCTCTACTCTCCATTGTACACACTCTACTATTGTCTAATTGTCTGTGTATGAAATCCAGCTCGGATCTTGCAGCTGCTTAAAGTACATGGGTGTGATTATAGATTTTTGTGGTCAGCCCTGCCTTAACCCTCCTGTAACACTTTGCAAAGGTCACTAAAAGGGCTGTGCGTGCCACAAAAAGTTGGTACTAACCTACTGCTGCCCTTGTGTCAAATTGCCCGGAGGCCTTGTGAGTCATTTTGACCCAAGAGCAGCAGTAGGTTAATACTAGGCCTGTTGCAATAAACAATAAATCAGTTAATCGCATGATAAATTAAAATTATCGACCTCATTTTCATTTATCAGCTTTGTTTCTTCGTCTCTCAATTTCTACTGAAGACACTCAACTCCGGTGCTCTTCACTGACCCTTCCCTTTCGCTTTTCTCTTTAAAATCTGTTTTAACTGTCCATAATCTCGTTTTTGGATCGTTAAAAGCAGCTAAGCTGAGAAGCTAAACTAAGAGCTAAGCTAACAGGCCAACCTCGGGGAAAAACCCTCCTTCTTGTCGAAGCTCCAAATTTCACAGTTGAAACCTGTGCCTTCGTGTAAAAAGTTGTTTTTCTTTGCAAAAAGAAGCCGAGAACTTGTTTACTGATGTTTTATTAAAAGTTTTGTGTGAAAAATGCTATGCTAAAGAGCTCAAACCACACCGAGCGTCCGCCATTTTGAGAACTGAATAAAGGAAGGCAAGACAGCTCATGTCACGTCAAGGGGCCTCTCTCCCATTTTTCTTAAAGACACACGCTGCTAGCTCTCTCACTATCCATCCTTCAGTTCAAACAGTCTTATACTGCCATCCGGTGGTTGAAAAATGGTACTACACACAAAACAAATGAACAAACATTTCTTCTTAAATTTTACAATAATTACTAATTATTGTCAAATTTCAAACTATATTATCGCTTATTGCAATAATTTCTGAGACAATTAATCGCCCAGCAAAATTTGTTACCTTGACAGCCCTAGTTAATGCCAACTTTTAGTGGCACAAACAGCCCTTTGTAAAGTGATACAATTTATTTCTCAAAGTTCTCAAAAATAACAAACTTATAATACACTCATATATATATATATATGTATATATACATATATATATATGGACCTACATTATATATACATGTAAATATATATTTTTTCTTTTTTCCTCTTTAACATGTTAGACATCTTATAAATAGATGAATTTCAAAACAGGTGAACTGCAAATGAATTTGGATATCCTGCTCACATCAGTGTAACTGCAGAAACTGATTCTACTGAGCTTTGAGACCAGAGCCAAAACAACCAAAAATTGCACTTCTTAGCACATCAAGACATACATGTTGCAGCGTGTTGATACACGCCTGACTGAGCCTGAATCCAGAACATGTTGAAGCATTCAGATGTCTCAACAACAGAAACGTGAAAGAAAGAGACCGAGAGAGAGAGAGGAGGTGGATGGAGGGAAAAGATGGCCAAAAACCAAGACAGATGGAGAGCCACACTGACATATGCACACCAAAATAATGAACAACGGAAATGATGAGTATGAAAGCGAGGCTGCAGCAAGGGTGAAATATTTGTCAGAGTCCCATATGTGAACATAATGGCACGATGAAAGATGTTACGCAGGAATCATGAATGTTGCTTTATTAGAAACACAGAGAACAGAAAACATGCTGCGTGCTTCAGTAGCAACACTACAAAAAATCCCATTAGTTTTATTGAAAAATCCTGTTTGTGCTTTCTTTGCATTAAATAATGTTTTATTTGCAACAACTAGCGACTGACTGGAACCACAAGCCCCGCCCCCGTGGCCCACACCCCTAGGCTGTATGAAATGCTGGTCACTAGGTCCCTGCTCCTCATTGGCTAATCAACTCTGAGTCCTGCAGTCTCACTGGCTGCCTTGGGGGATGCTCTTGGAGGCTCTGTGTACTGTGGAGCAAAAAACAGTCTAGGCTGTCTCCATTTTCGTTCCTTTTCATGCTGCTTTCTTTCCGAATCCATTGTTACTCTGAGCTTGAAAAAAAAAATACAGACAAGGGTTATGTTTGTTGTCTACAAATATCTCTCCTCCATGCATTTGATTTTTGCATCTTTTAAATATTGGTCTCACTGTGCACATGGATGATGTTTTCATGGAAAGAAAAACAACAAAAAGACTGCCAGAGCTACCAGAATGGCTGGATAGTACTGTATAAAAAATAGTTTCATTTGTGTTTTAATGATTTAGCTGATGTTTTAACATGGGAGTCAAAAAGAGACTCTTAAAGGAGGGGAGTTTCTCACGCAGGTAAGATGGTAAAGATTCTTGCTTTTTCATCAACAAGTCAACCTGTAGTGTGTGGCTGGATGCTACAGTGGCCCTGAGGTGTAAATGAACAACATTTGAAAAAAACAGAATTACGTTTGAAAAAATTAATTTAATGGTTGTTTGTCTCGTTTGTCTCTATGTGTCCCTGTGATGGACTTGCGACCCGTCCAGGGTGTACCCCGCCACTCGCACAGTGATTGCTGGACATGGGCACCAGCGACCCCCGTGACCCAAAATGGAATAAACGGGTAAAAGATAATGGATGGATGGATGGATGAAAATTGAATTAAATTTGAAAAAACACAACAAAAACATCAAAAACACAACATTTGGAAAAAAAACGGAATTACATTTGAAAAAATGGAATTACATCAAGCCAAAGCAGAAGTGGCCAAAGTGAAAGTGACTGAAGCGGAAGTGGCAGGAATCACATTTGAAAAAACGGAACTACATTTGAAAAAAACAATTAAATTAAGCCAAACCGTAAGTGTTTTTTTTATTTATTATTTTTTACTTTATTAACCCATAGAACAACAGAACAATACAGTAACAAGATACAAATACAAACTCTTGTGAAGGGTGTTGGGGTCCATGCACCATTTGTTCAGTTGTTTTTTAAAATGAGAATCCAAAGTTCAAAAACAACTTATTTCATTGTTCATTTTCAGGAGGGATAAAAAAAACAAAACATACAGCCATGCTTTTTGCATTGTTAACTTTATCCACACGTACCCCACACCCTTCACAAGAATTTGTATTTGTATCTTGTTACTGTACATTGTTCTGTTGTTCTATGTTGTTAATAAAGTAAAAAAATAAAAACCCACCACTTATGGTTTGGCTTTTTCAAATGTGATTCCGGCCACTTCCGCTTTTGCCACTTCCACTTCTGCCACTTCCGCTTTGGCTTAATGTCATTCTGTTTTTATCAAACGTAATTCCGTTTTTCAAATGTTGTTGCGATTTTGTTGATTTTTTTTCTAATTTAATTGAATTTTTTTAAATGTAATTCTGTTTTTTTTTCAAATCTTGTTCATTTACACCTCAGGGCCACCGTAGGTAGGATGCTGAGTGGACAGCATTTAAGAAGATCACTGAATTAAAAAGATGTCAGGATATAAAATGATCCAACTAAATAAAATCAAAAACATAACGGCCTAACATTCCTTGAAGGATGCAAACCGCCCACTATCTTTCATGTCAGAGCTATAACTGTTTAGGTCAAACCTTGTAACAGACATTATATGTAATAAATCAATAGATAGTTATCGATAGTTTACTAATCCCAGCTTGGGAAATCTTGCAAGATGTATGATTGCTTGAAGTATGTGTCGTTATCACTCTGGGGTGTTTCCATATGAAATTTTAGCTCATTATTTGTACATTTGACTAAGTTATAGCCATTTTTATGTGCTGCTAAAGTCACTTGGCTGTGGCTGCCATCTTATATTGTGTTGACTCTAAAAAGGTAAGCAGTTGTAGATTAATATCCAACACAACCTAAACATTACTGCTCTTTTGACTTTGGCAGCAGGCGGTAATGAAACTGATAAAGGATGAATTATGCTGGAAGAAAGAACCACCTTATTTCGCTCACAGGCCTGCATAAATGGGCTGTGAAGGTTGTGATTCTCACAGGTCACTGCTGTAGATGTTTCCTCAACGTTTGCTTAGTGACAAAATGTTTGAGAAGGCAGATTTTTCTGGTGTTATGACCTGCCATGATTGTTTGGAGTCATTTTTATCAAATAAAAACTTTATTCTTTAGCGGGATGGGCTCACAATAAAGTTTAATCACAAACACTTGGCAAGCAGTGACTCTGAAATATTAATAAATAATCAGTAACATTTTATTTCAAATGTAAATATATATATATATTAGAGTTTGGTAGAATTCTGTCTAGGGTGACTTACGGAGGAGGTATTCAGCAGCATCTGCTTCATAGTCGGCATCCTCTGGGAAATGATCTATCTTCTTACAAACACCTCTAAATGTTCCTGCAGAAAACAAAACATAAATTGGTTAAAATCTTAATAGGTTTTTGTTTATTTGCTAAGTTAGACACAAACACAATTTCTTAGAACATAGGTTTCATTCACAAGTTTATTTGTCTGTGTAATGTGTTAACTGGTAAATCTTTTTGTATTTTGTTGATGCTTTTTTTGTCTAAAAACAAACAAACAAAAAAGAAAGAAAAAATGCAATGCAAGCCAAAAGACATGCATGAACTTGGCTGGCTATGTAATCACATGCTCCTGCAGCTCCACTGGGATTTTTAGCTGCTCTGTGAAAAGTTTGTCTTTACTTACAGAGCAAACCAAAGTTCCTGTTTCTCCTAAACTATAGATTTGATTAATTTAAATTATGTTTGCACTGATCCCATGTTCAAGTGCACGCTTTACATGACATGTTTAATTTGTCAGCATCTCCATTTGCTGGTATACAGTCCCACATTAAATGATTAGACAAAAGCAAATAAATGAATGGGAGTAATTTGTCACCCCTGGAATAATGATAATAATTAGAGATGCACAATATATCCAATATGCCCATATGTTAAAACTTATTTGGCCGATAAGCGATACCAATACCGATATTTTTTCCCTAGACCTACTTACAGAGACTACATAGCTTTCTCTGCTGTGGAATTAAAATACTAAATTATTCTGCATGTTCTTTGTCAGTTTGGCCTGCTACCAAATGCAGATGCCAAACAAGGGGCTGAAAATAATGTAGCACTTCAACTTGGATTATGTTTAATGTCAAATTTATTCATGACATTTACTCTCTCTCACACAGTGACAACACTCGAACAGTCATATAAAAACAGCAACATTATATATATATATATATATATATTCAATTCAATTCAATTCATTTCAAAAATACTTTATTAATCCCAGAGGGAAATTAAGTTCTCCTGGTTTCATTAAAGAGTTCTAGATGCTGATGGCTGTGGGCAGGAAGGATCTCTTGTGGTGGTCCGTCTTATAGCGGATCTGAAAAAACTGGCCACAGATGTTGATCTGTTTACTTGGACTTGGTGAGCCTCTCAGCCCTCCTGGGCAACAGGACCACCTGAATGTTGAGCAGAACTCCTCCCAGAACGATGGTCACTCCTCTCAGCAGCTTGTTGAGCTCCTCCTGTAGACAGCCAGCTGGGAATGATCCTGGTCTTCTTGGATTCACGAGCCGGGTTTCCCGCCAGCTCCAGGATTTCGGCAGTCAGGTACTCGAGCACCACCACCGGGTAGACAGAGATGCATCCACGGCACCTCCTTTTCAATTCATTTGGGATTTGGGGCTGTAGTTGAGGTATTATTTGAGCTTTGAGATGTTAATCAGCTGCTCCCAGTTGTACAAATTACATTGCTGCCATGTTTACGCATCATAACAAATGTTCAAAAGTAAAATTGTTTCAGTAAAAATCCTTCCAGCTACACAGCATTCGATACCAGAGGAAATTATCATCCAAAAAAAGATGCAGGTGCATACTGTAGTCTCAAGAACAAATAAAACTTTAAGAATTGACTGGAACTACGACAAACAATTAAAAAAAATTGGGTTAAAGGGGATCTGACAAAGAGCTGAGGAAAACCAGCACGTATGTGTACTGGGACAGGCGATTACTGAATGACAGTACATGTGCTGATTACTAACAGAATGCAAGAAGTATATAAGGATATCGATACAGTTTGTTGGTGTTTCACCTGTTAGCAAAATATCAGCCACTGAAGGCATTTTATTGAAACTCTTGAAATAATCACTGGATGTCCATCTACAATGGTTTAAGCTTTGGAGTCCACTTGATTCAAGATGGCGGTCAAAGCTAATTGATCCTAGAAAACACAGACATGCTATAACTCAGACAACTATATAAATAATGAGCTAACATTTCATGTGGTAGTAGCTGAGAGTCACCCCCAACACTTGCATTATTAACAGACCACAGAAGATCTTTGGTTAAAACTTTGCCAACCTTGTCTGTTTGCTAACAAAATATCTCGTGAACTGGACAGAATTTAAAACAACTCGTAAAAAGGATGTACGTCTACAACTGATTAATCTCTGGAGTCAAGTTAATTCAAAATGGCTGCCACAGCTAATTAACCTTGTCAAACACAAAAATGGTTCTGACTCAGTCCGTGTCACAGATATTGAGATGTGTTATTAGCATCATGCACTCCAAGTGCAGATCATGTGTCGTTTGAAGCTTTGGTGTGCATGGCGACAGGAAATACTTTTCTTTAAATCGTGCTGTGTTTCAAAGCAATCATAGTACAATAAATAAAACCATGGAGCATAACTAAATAGCCAAGGACAAACAAGCAAACCCTAAAATACAAAGAAAACAAACAAAACCAGAAATCCTACATCAACACAGACAGAGCACAGCTGACAGACATTCTTGGACCACGGCGCTGTAGCTACATCTGTTGAGGCTCCATCCTTAGAGGATAAAGGAAGGTTTGTTTTTTTGTTTTATTTTGCAGTATCTTAATTTAGGAAATTTTCCACTCATCTTGTGCCCCTCATATAAAACTCATAACCGCAGCATTATTATCTAAATAGACACTTGCCTCATGATACAACTCCTTTTAATTTATTTGGCAAAACAACACATTATGCGCATCTTTCGGACAAATTTAGAAGATTTATGCCAACATGAGCGGGAATACCTGCTGTCATTCAAGCATCCTGTGACTGAACCACATCCCCTTAGTGTGTACCAGTAGATGTAAACTAGGGATGCACAATATTGGACTTTTGGCCGATATCCAATATGCCAATATGTTAAAACATATTTGGTCAATAACCGATATCAATACCAATATTTTTACCCCTAGACCTACTTACATAGACTACATATCTTTCTCTGCTGTGGAATTAAAATACTACATTATTCTGCATGGTAAGTAGTGCATTAATACATATACTTTACAGTTTCTTAAATTAAAAATTAACTTAAAACAGAAGCCTTTTATTCGCACAGTGATTGCTGGACATGGGCACCAGCGACCCCCGTGACCCAAAATGGAATAAGCGGGTAAAGATAATGGATGGATGGATGGAAGCCTTTTATATCGGTGAGTTATTTTGATGGAATGGCCGATGTCCGATATTTAACTTTATTGCTAATAACGGCCGATACGATACCATACGATAATATCGTGCATCCCTAATGTAAGCATATCAAAGCCATGAAACAAACCTAGCAGAGACGGAGGAATGACACGACACAAGAGTGGCAGCAATCAGGCTACGTCCAGGAAACACTAACGAAGAGCCTCAAATGCAGTGACCAATTTACCACAGTGAGAACAAACACACGCACAGCAGACATCAAGAATACAAATATAAACCACGCTCATTAAAATGATGCATGAACATCATTAGTATTAGATGGAGAAACCTTCTGCAGTTTAAAAAAATATATGTATAATATATGTGTTTATTTGTGTTGCATTAAATAGCCTACAAGCACGCCATGTGTCATGCAGAGAGTGACTCATCCTCCAACCTCCTCAGCACACACACACATCCACCAGTGTCCCTGGTGTGTGTGTGTGCATTTGTGTTCATACGTCTCATGCAGATGTGTAACTACCCCGCTCACTTCCTCCCACCCATCATTCAGTCCCATTCACACATGGTCAACACCATGGGCGCCATGAAAGGGAGCGGGACAGAGGAAGGATGAAGTGGGGAGAGCTGACAGGGACGATGAAGAGGGAGGAAGAGAGAGGAAAGACTGGTTGAAAGAGGTTTGATGGTGAAATGGCACATGAGAATTGGAGAGAAACAAGAGGAGAAAGGCTGGCTGCGAACAAATAAACGACTAAACCTAATGGCTTCTTTGCACTTGAAGAGACTCCAGCCGCTCCGAAAATCATCGACGAACCATTTCATCCAGCTCACGCACTTAGGGACAGAAACTAACCTCTGACTGATTTAAAAGACTTCAAAGACTCCCTTTAAACTAGTTTAAAGAGAAATCATTTCCATGTGAATCAAAGGCTGTTTACTCATGCTTTAATAGATTCGGGTTAATTTCTAAATACGAACATGTGCAGCATCATGCAGCGCACTTTCATATTTTCATTTAAGGTTTTCTTCTGGTTTTGGTTGAAAATGCAGCGAGTCACGTTCTCAATGGAACGTTTAAACCAATATTCATATGTAAAGACTAAAGGTCGGATACCCACACACAATATGAAGTGGTTGCCGTGGCAACACACTTAAAGCTGCTTTCCGCCTTCAGTTTTTTTTTTTTTTTTAACTCTCTTTTGTGTGTGATGGTGTGATCCAGAATGAATTTTTGGGGGGGACCACTGCAGTCCTAGAGGCTTTAATGGCACAAAGACTTTATGTTTTGTGATATTAGTATATTAAACAATCATCAAAACTCTGTGAGCATTTTATTGCATCAGTTTGTTGTCACACACCCTGCTGTATTTTCTTTAAGCAACTGTATATTTATCGAAATAAAATAATCCTCCTAATACTTGAGGCAACTTTGCACAAACTGGTGTGTTTTTGTTTAAAACAGTATTTTCTCATCTCTGCAATGACGGCAGCAACAGGTCCAGTGTCCCGAAAAAAACCCCATTTTGAGCTAACTGGAATAAAAAGTCCAGTAGCTCTTTGTGTCTTTATGGACCCTTAGGATACGAAGCTCTGTTTAAATAGTATTTTTATGTATTTATTAATTTCCATTTCAAAGGACCAACGACATTCAGTTCTAGGCCCACGTCACACTTCAACTCCTTGTCACAAGTATCATTTATCTGTACATCCAACCAACCAACCAACCAACCAACTAACCTTCCATCCATCCTTTTATTTTTTTTAACATCCTCTATTTAAATATTATATATACACTTTTATATACATCACAATAAAAAGTTTATCATACTATACCAAAAAAAGAAAAATACAGTAGTCCCTCGTTTATCGCGGGGGATCCGTACCCTGAAGCCCTGTGATAAGTGAAAAA